CAGCGATTGAATTAAGGCACGCGGTGAATGCCAAATGCGATGCTCCACACATCCTCCTTCATTTTATTGTCCTTTAATCTCCTTTATTTTGCTCTTCGTTAACTTCTCAACTCTATTATACTCACTTTCTATTTACTAACTCATCTACACAGGCCTTTACAGCCCCTAGGAATTCCGTTTCTACGCTGGTAATACGAAGACCTGCTCCAGTCAACCGTGATGCGCCAGTAGCAACTACCTCCAGACTTCTTAGCGGGGTAACTCCACTTCTGGGACGCACCAAAAGTCCAGCTTTTTTGTCAAAGGACCACTCTAGGGTACCGGAGAAGGCAGACGCCCATTCTGCACTGATAAATGTGCAAAGTTTAACAATGTAAAATTTTTGGAACACTTTAAACATAAATCCCTCCTAATGCTTAGCGGTGGAATTAGACCAAGTTTGATCGTGTTGAATCTGTACATGATCTAAAAATCAAAAACCTGATTGCGGCACAACAGTGAAGTTTTAACAGGAGGATGGATCAATGATGAAAGGTCTCTTCAAAAACGGCTCTTTACACGAAATACCTTATAAAAAGTTTTGAACTTGGGCAAATGCCCCGCGGGGGTGACTGGGGTGGAAAAGGTGGATGCTACGGGAACTGGTCCAGCTCCCAGCGGTACTAAAAAGCAAATCCCTGCATTGCATTTCTTGCGTGGATCTAGTGAGATATGTAAGGCGCACAAAGTCTGCTAAATTTGGAAACGTTCTCTGTTTCAGAAAATCATCGTTTGGGTCTTACCCCTAGTCCGCACTTACGGTTGGTGATGACCGACGCTGAATATGATGACTACACGGCACATTGCCACATGTTCCGATTGTTATCAAGATGGATTCCTTCTCGGTCCAACTGTGATAACAGCATCTCATCCCTCCTCATGTTTAAAACAAACTTGCTTTATTTGCCCACACTACAACATCTTCTTGCATTTAGTTATAAAGATCGGGCATTCCTTTTTAGGTGTCCAAATGCATTCTTGTGTCATGATCCACATTACAACACTCAAATCACCTGTGAATATGTCTGAGGTTTGTAGAATTCAACGGCGGTAATGTCTGGAAGCCCAGAACTACCTACAGCTGGTGTCAACCTACGCAAGCTTCGCCTGAAAGCAACAAAGATATGCAAATATTACACACTTCCTACCACTTTGAACGTTGTCCTCGGCATTCGCATTCATCACGTTTTTGACCTGACAGAGTTCATTGAAATTGCATAAGAAATGGCATGATAAATCCGCTCTACTTTAAAATCAGACAGATCAACTTTCTCAACAAACCTCTTAATCACGTTTCCTGAAGCTTAAACCTGTTAGATCAATGGGATAATGTGGAAACAATTATAAGGAACTTTATTATGATGGGATGGGTGAGTTGGCTTTACCTAATCCATAATCAACCGTCAATCCTTTTTATTTAGAGCCCAGCGTTGGCTGGACAGCTCAGTGTCCATCAAATGTTGAGCCAAGGTGGGCTTTTTCAAACGGCTGTATTTTGCTGATGAAATCGTCAGTTGCTGTTTGATTATCACAGGTTGTAGATGAATCGTGCAAAATCTCGGTGACAAACGAATTAACGCTAAAATTCAGTCGCAAATATTGTGATAACTTAGGATTTTAATCATTATTACGTCGCCACTAATAGGTGCCTATTTTACGTGGTACATTTTCCCCCACGGCAGAATTGCTGCTGCAATTTGGAGAAGCCCATTTCTAACAGTCGAAAGGGGAGCCTTATTGTGCATTAGCCTTGTTTGATGTTTGCCTAAAAAGTGTGCAAAGTAAATCCTGTCCGAAAAAGTAAAAAAAGGTCGCCATCACCAAAAGGTACCGGGAATGGCTAATTCAAACTGCACTTATTTTTTCCAGAGACAGCTATATAGAATACTAAACACTCCAGAGATTTGGAATGTTGCTGGTGTTTTTGGCAATGATATGTGTGCCGAAAAAAGTTTAAATAGTAGCTCAATAAATCAAAAGTGTTTAAAATTTAAAGCGAATAAGCAGAATAGCTACTCACCTTAACTGCTATGTAACAGACAACATGGATGCCATAATTGCTTGCTCTGTTAAGAATTTCGCATTTTTGGTATTCCTTTTGGCTTTCTTGACTTTGAATTCGGCAAGAATGGTTTTACTCAGCCCTTGTCGTCCCTCGTTGTATTCAGGAATTAAACAACGGAATTAATCGTCTTAATACTTTCGAATGTAAATTGCAAAGTGTTTGACGGTGACAGGGTAAAAAAGTGATTTACTGACGGAAGAATTCAGCACTATAACTAATCCAACAAGCATGAACTCTCGCAAGGAAGGAATTCCGGTTGTGGAATGAGTTTAGCCCCATAGAAAAGCAACCGACCAGGCGTCTGAAGGAGAAGTAAGTTCCAAAAGGTTTCTTCACCTAATGTCACCTTGATCTTCAGACACCTTAGCTACTAGGTGCGTGAACAAACGGCCATTATGAACCATAACGATATTTGTTATTGCCTATAATACAATTCTAGCCTAACTGGAACTCCGTGATTCGGCCTCTAGGCCGGTGGTAAGGGATCCCGAGAATAACACCTCTACCAGTAGTATCCCAAACTTTCTTTATTATTAACCACAATACCACGTCTACATTTCTATACTTTTAATGTCTTTAAAGTTAACTAGGAATACAGATGCAAAAGTGATTCGTAACGTCGATAGTTTATGCCCAGAGGCACCCACTTTCTCCTGAATGCGCCATTAATCAAATTTTTTGGAGATACTGTCGAGATGCTTCCGAGGTAAGTGCCTTTTAATACCGAAACTGAGGCAAACCCATTGAAAAGCTTTTTCCCTCTTATTGGCCAGTTAACAAATTAAATTCCTTAAACATTTAGCCCTATTTTGATTATACAAGAGGACTTTGAGATAAGGCGATGATTCTTAGATTTTTTTTTCGGCAAAAATTTAGAAAACCTACCACCTTGAAGACTGTATCCACCAAATTGTGTACTAGATTAAATCTAATTTACAAACGGTCTACTCAGTGCTATAAATGGAATACCCAAACAAAAATTTACAAAAAAAATCATAATTAGCAGCATAGATAAACTAAAGTTGAAGTCGCCCTTTCACAAAAAACTCTTACACATTCAAAATAAATATATCCCGATTTGAGTAATTTTATCCACCCTGTAACGTTAATAGACAAAAAAAGTGACCACTGCGGTAGATCACGGAGAAAAAACTTTCCGTAGACGTGGCACACTTTCTTCGACATCATTTTCAACGTCCCACTGAGCTTATTTTCCGATTTTTTTCTCGTCGTCTGTCTATTTGAGATCTGGTACTGTTTTCCATTTAAAAAACATCGAAATTACTTCACTTACTTCTAATTTATTGAATCACGAAGCGTTCTCTGCTGCTGAGATGTTAACGTACATCGGCTCTGACAGTACTTTAACAACAGTAATGCAGTCACCCAACAATTTGCCTTTTCGTTACCTTACGCACAATTAGTTGATGTTGCTGCGCTTAATGTGGCGCTAATAAAAAAGGGGATTGGTACTTTTGTGGGAATGCTAAAAAATAAGGATGACAGTGGCTTTAAGCCCTCGAGAGCTCTCTGCTTGCTTATTATTCAGTTGAAATTAATTTCCACAAATAGTTGCGGCGGATAAATAGCGGAAAAATTAACGCCATATTGCATCAAATGAGCTACATGCTTTGAAATGCTCATTTGACCAATTTGTTGCACGATACGTGAAAAAATGGTTGTATTTTAAATAACTATGATGTAACACCCTTCGGACGGCGAGTGAATAGGTTGGATTAACGTCGTGGGTGAGGAGACGCCATTGATGCCAAAGGAGGGGACGAATTCGGTATTGGTGAGGCGCCACTTCTGTACCTTGAATTAGCCCTCTTGTACTTCGCTAAGTGGGCTGGCCTTCGGGCCATGCCAGCAGCCCAGACACCTTCTCTGTGCTGAATACATATATTCTGCCCGAGTATTTTATCTTCTTTCGTCTTCAGAGAGTCTCGGGACGCTACACAAAAAGCCTCGCTTTGCACGATTTAAGGCTTTTGTCCATAAGCATATTCCACGACTCAAGGATGTAGAACCAGAGGTAGAAGAGTAAGCTAGTAAAGCATTAGAACAATCCCTTCTAGCAGTTGTGATTGTAACACCCTTTTGCATTAGTAACCTGGGTTCCGGGCCCAAGACTGATGAAGTATTCTGCGCTTCACGGAAATCTTCGCAGCACTGTTTTGAGCGAGTAGAACGGAAATTGATAAGTACACATTATTTCCAACACGGTAAAAATAGTACAACAGAAAAATGGGCAGAATATCTATCCACATCACCAAATTTGCACACCCGGCAAAAAATAAAGAGCTAACATCAAAATTAGTAAAGCTGCGAATTCAGAGATTAAGGAAAAAACAGGCAACTTAATACGTCCAAGAAATTTAGCCACTAGTTATTGATCTCAGGCTAAATTCTGCAACATGAGGCGAATAAGTGGGTTCAGAGTAATGTATGCGTTATTTAAAGGTGTTAAATAAAGAAAATGTTGATAAGTTAGAATGTCCTTCTGCGAATTCTTCCAATAAATCTGTGCTAACAAATAATTACTGATTTAGTTAAGAATTTCCCAATTTCTGCTTTATTTTCCGAAACCTATTGTAAAATTAGGTCAGAATACTATCACTTGACGAATGGAATCAGATTTGTTAGAATATTTCATCAAAACACTCAATGAGCAGATGCGGTGCTTATAATTACAATAGAAAATTAAGATATCGATCCAAATTAATAAGTATCCAATCCGTCGCAAAGTTACATTGAATTTTTTCATCTTTAGCTTTTTACTTGCTCAATCAGCTGTATTGGAAATTAGTGGATTTCAAAAATAAACAAACAGTGACCTTCTAATTGACTAATCATAAGCTAGTTTCACTCAAAATTCGTCCTGTGTTGTGCAGGCATGCCTAACTACGCTCTATCGGATTTTTTCCGCCTTGAGAAGATTGGCGAAGGTCTGGCAAAAGTACCTATTTTATTGTTCTAGGCACATATGGAATAGTATACAAATGTCGCAACCGAAAGTCGGGCCAACTTAAAGCCATGAAACGAATTAAGCTTGAGAACTTTGATGAGGGTGTCCCTTCGACGGCTATCAGAGAAATTGCACTTCTCAAAGAGCTGGAACACCCAAATGTTGTAACGTAAATTCTAAACATCCATGACTTTTCCAGTTTGGAGCAGGTTATCCTAGATCGCGGTCGACTGTATCTAATCTTTGAATATTTAACTCTGGATCTCAGACGGTATCTAGATAACAATTGTAAGGACGCTGGATTGCCTCCAGACACTGTTAAAGTGGGGTCTTACTTTAAGTTATTTTCTATCTAGTTGTTCATGTATCAAATGCTTCAAGCTCTTCTCTATTGCCACGCAAGGCGCATTATCCACCGTGATCTAAAACCCCAAAACATTCTGGTCGACGTTGACAGAAATGTTGTTAAGTTAGCTGACTTCGGCTTGGCTAGATCGTTTGGTTATCCACTTCGAAAGCTGACCCACGAGGTAACTTACACATCCCTTATATCTCACTGAAAATTTAACTGACCGATCTTCACGTGTTACAGGTCGTCACTCTGTGGTATCGCTCTCCTGAGATTCTACTAGGTGAAACTCTCTATTGCTGTGGTGTGGATATGTGGTCTATGGGATGTATGCTCGCAGAAATAGCAACAGGAGATCCTCTCTTTCGCGGTGACTCCGAGATTGATCAACTTTTCCACATATTCCGAATAATGGGGATGCCGACAGAAGAAAATTGGCCGGGCGTTACAAAGTTGCGCGATTATAATTCCAAATCTTTCCCATCTTGGCACACCAATAAACTTCGCTCTCAAGGAAAGATCGTGCGTGCGCTTGGCGCAAAGGGTCTTGATTTGTTAACTGTGAGTGACTATTGTGTTCCGCTCCTTTTTTCCGTTTCTCACTGTCACCGATATTCTCCTAAGTCTATTGAATTTCTCAGGAATTGTAACAATTTATTCTCAAAACAATGTATTTACTCTTTCGGTAGCAGTGTTACTATTGTACCCAAAAATGATGTGTTTGCTTGCAAGTAGCCGTCTCCTTGTTCAAACCTAGGCGCTTCTTCTCTACGATCCCGCATCGCGCATAAATGCGCAGCAGGCTCTTTTGCATCCCTACTTTGCTGACCTTGATGCAGAACTGCTACCTGCAGTCGGTGAGGAGTTTGTTGGTCTACCGGTAGACAAAATCCCGTCCGCTATCGCTGAAATATTCAATGCCGCGCTCACCGTTGCCGACAGCGAATTAGACGTAGAAGAGGACGAAGAGTCGATGAAAGAGGCGACAACCTCGGATAAGAGGGTATTTTCAGCGTTTCACTTTTTTTGCCGTAAATTTTATCCAGCTCCAACGTTTTGTCTTCCTTTTGGCTTATTAAGCCAAGGTTGGCGCCCTCCACGGTGTTACTGGGTGCGTCGGCATATCAGATCTCAGCGGCTCGTGCGAAGCTTGCAAAGGAGAGGGTGGAGACGTCAAAAATGGAGAGGCAGGAGGAGGCCCCAGAGGTCAAAAAATGGATTACGCAGCCTCTGGCCGAAAATTATCATGCCAACATGTCTATCGACTAAACTCTCATCATTAATTTCTTCGCATACACACACCACTCCCTGTCCTTTCATTATCGTACCTAGTTGTTAACTTTTGATACCGTGACTGTTATTACCCTGTTTGCTGTCAATTTCAAAATTTTCCCCTTTTATCATTACGTGTAAAATTTATTGGAGAGAGGGGTTAAGTGAATCTTATTGAAGCGCCTTACAACATTGATCGAAGAAAGGATCAGTTAGGTCGAGGCAGTTTGGGTGTGTGATGCAACTGTTTCTGATGGGAGCTAAATGGGGCAACAGTACGGAACTAGAGGATGCTCTTCATGAGGATGTGTTCGTTCTCTCTTCTATGGCGCTCAGCGCTTTGCAGTTTGTCCAAAATGAAGCAGATCTGTTTCACCACTGCGTTGACGTTTCCCTCCACGTCTGCTATGCGTTCGGTCAGCTCCTCACAGTCCTCAAGTTCAGCAAACTAGGAAAGGAAGGCAGTTCAATGGAGAGACTAAATCCAAATCTTGCAGCCTAAATTGGACAGTGATGATTTTACCAGGTCCTTGTTAGGCCTCTGCTGTGTTTTTTCGGAGCTTTTCATTCTGTTATCCTCATCATCGGAGTCAGCAGGTTGGAATGCAATCTGAAGAGGAGGAAAGTTAGTCGGAGAACAGTTATGAACTAGCTTACACCCAAAAACATTTCTTCCCGCATTCGACGGCGTTCAACAAAATCCAACATGTTGTCCCCATCCTTGTCGTACTTGTGGAAGAGGAAGTTTGCTTCCATCTCGGAGTAGCCGGCGCTGAAAGTGACAGCAGCCTTAAACAAGTCACTATTTCAAATATGTATGGTAAAGACCATTACAAATGAGGGTTTCACTGCATCAATTCACTGATGTTTCGAGATGGATGTAATCATCGTGGCAGCTTCAATATTTCAGTGGTTACCATTATTTATTCCAACGTTCCTACGTCATGAACCTCTTTTTCGTGTTTTTGACTAATAAGCTGTGCTTTCAATTGCAGTAGACCACTGTACCTATATAACGCCTTGAGGTGTTTGCGGCAAATTGAATTTTCCTACAGAACTGGTAGAGACCCCCTTATGAAAACTAAAAATCAAAAGGCAATTAAGGCGGAATATTGAAAGGGAAGCCGACCATCAAATTACGTGGAACTTAGAACAATTGCTCTAAGAGCATTTAGTAAGGACTGTCCAACCTCCACTCACGCCTTCATCGCACGTCTCCAAGCATTGAAAGAGAGTTCCATTTGATCATCAACTGCGGATTCGAGAACTTTATCTAGAGGCATTCTTCGGCGTTTTGAGAACCTTGCGAAGAATTCCTTTGTATTCTGTGAAAAGGGTTGAAACCATGAACTAATGAATAGAAGGTAAATAGGAAAATAGAAATGTTTCGAAATGGAGAGGGAGGATAGATAAAATTGGTAGGTGGACAGATGGGTGGATAAAAATTCCATTGAAAGAAAGAAAAAAAAACGACCAAGAATGGTAGGAGTGACAAGACTTAATGACACTTACGTGGCGAATATAGGCGATAAACTTGAAGTCATTTTTGCGTTTTGCCATATTCTCCTTGACCTTTGCATAGGCCTCCCCGATTATGGCTAAGAACATGTTGAGAAGAACAAAAAAGACAAAGAAAACGTAAACTAAGAAGTAAAGAGGTCCGAGGAGTATGTGTGTAGCTTTGATAGCATCCATATCAAAGTCGCCGAGAATGATACGGTACAACGCGAACCTAAAAATTCCCAAAATACGAAGCAATCGCCATTAACCTACGCTGAGAGATCGAAAGACTTAAATTCCGAACTGGTGGAGCCAAACATGAGGGTTCCAGCTTGCACAAAAGCGGCAAAGATAATTCCAAACATAACGGTGAATCCAATCATATCGTATAAAGCGTAGTTGATTGTCGCTGTCAGCTGCCCCATCGTTTCACTGAAACTGATGAACTTAAAGATCTAAATTGCCAAAAAAAAAGTGGTCATTGGAAAATATCATGAGAACGTCGGTGGTGATACATACCTGCAATGGGATAATAAGCATAGAAGAACCCGAGGACGGGATAGTTGGTAAAAAAATGAGGAGTGAAAAGTTTGATATTACTTTCCATAAAGGGAATTCATTTTTTAAAATAAAAGTCATTTTATTGACCTGAATCAGTGAGAAGAAGACAAGCAATGCAAGTAGACGTTTGTACTGCAATGCCATATGTGCAATATGTACGAATTCGGGGTAGACATCAAGGGAAGAAATCCCTTGCCTCAGTATACCCATGACCAAGGAGCGGTTGTAGATGTTGAGTCCGACACAAGCAACACACAGTGAAATGACCAAAAAATCGACGAGATGCCAAAAGCCACGGAAGTAGGATAGACCCATCTTGAAAATCTGCAAGAAGGTGATCTGAATCTTAGTGAAATTAGCGGACCAGTCGGCGTTTGTTTAATGAGTTGTAAGTTCACCAATATGTAAGAAAACGCTACTATTTGCTCTAGAAAGACAAAAAAACAATTTATCGGTGTTGTCACACAAAGTCAAAACGATTTTTAAATGAGTGACATCCACTGGCTTCAACATTTTAGTACAACTTACGTGTCAAACGCATGCCCGCTACTGTCAAAAGAAAACTAGGCCAGCAGCCTAAATTACTTATTTCTCTTGCAAAGCAACACCAAGATATTCCTTTTTGTTGCTGTCATTTTGGTGGTCGATCTTCCTCCCTAACCTCAACAGCAAACGTGCTACTTATGCATTTTGGAAGTAATAAAATAAACCTAGTCAAAACTTCATTTACCTCATGTTATCGCACTGTGGCTATTAACAAATGGTCATTCCATTAACAATGAAGAAATGACTTTTATATGCTAAGAAGTTAACCAACATTTAATTTATGTTTAAGATCATTCTGCAGTTATAAAAACAGCTGTTTGGGGCAACATTTTTGTGCAATTAGAAGTAAAAGTAGTCAACTTGCAGAAATAATCTCCTTGACAATGTAGTAGGCCACAAATACGAGGGAAATGATTTCGCAAACAAAAACGACATATTCAGAGAGGGAGTGCCGGTGAATTAGGTAGAGAGGATGAATATCCACTGATCCGATCACGCCTCCTGTGTAGGGCGTCTCAAATAAGAGTCTACAATTATTAAAAAAGGGAGGAAATTCTCCTCTTGCAGTGTTTTTAGGAATATGGTTTAAGGCAAGCGGGGTAGGTGAAAATTAAGTGATAGTGAATTCTCTTCTTCCTCCATCAAACACAGGTCCCATTCTATGGTGTGCAATAACTTTGTTCCTAAATAAACATAGAACCTTCGAAGAGACACTTCGTAAAAAAAAAACAAAAGAGGGCTAAACTAATGCGGCTTTTTAAGAACCGTATAAGCTCCTTATGGCTTGTACATAATTCTGATCATTTTTGCATCCTCTTGAAAATAGCAATTGTGAAATTTACTGATCCAGGCTTCTTGTTAAATCCTTTGGAGTAACTGGGAAGAAATGCTGAGGAATGATCAGTAGATGGCAAAATTTTTCATATATTCCGATCTCGAACCTTAGGGTAGCTTCTATAAGTGTAGCAACTCCTCATTTCACTAACCTGATGAAATTTGAGGCCATGAAAAGAAGGTATTCAAGTCACTAAGCCTAAAAGCAATCGAGACAATAAATGATGGGAAGTTAAAAAGCCCATGTGGTTTTCAGTCGCTGGCCTCAAACATCCCGCTAAAATTTCCTGGAGGTCTTTGATATGCAAGCTAAGTTATAAGAACAAAATTAAATTTGGAAGAAATACGATTACTTTTTGGCATAGTTTTTCTTTTTTCAAAGCGGATAAGTGACCCATTTTCCCCATAGGCATGCGGAGCAACTGCGCAGAAGGCGCTTAACACCTTGGCAACAGCTTTGAATCGAAATTCACTAACACGGAATATCATGGGTATGTTCAGTAGGTACTCTGGCGACTTTCCTCAGTTTTGTCATATTTCATCCCTTCCACAAAAAGATGTCTAGCAAAGTGTCAAAAATATTTGCGCATCCATCCACACGCTTCTGTCGGTGCACATATTCTACGCATCTTACCAAAGTAGGGGCCGTATTAAATCAGATCCAACTTTGACCTTCAGGTGCCTGTAACTGCCTCATGGTGATTCTTTTTTTCATGAATCGAATCCATGATTCTAGTACGGTTTTCATGGTCATGGCTGGAACACTCTGCAACTTCTACACCAATATAATCACTTTTGACTCATTGAAAAGTTACTCGATATTCGTAGTGATCACGCATGCTGATATCAACTTGCGATCTTGATAAGCTACTGTGCCCTTCAGCTGATGTTCCTTTCTCGATTAAATTTTACGTACAAGGCTCGCAGTCACTTGGCTAAAATTATAGAAACTTGCGGTAATTAACTGCGGAAAAGGAGCCCACCAAGGAAGTGCGATTACTGAGTGTTCAACTATGGGATTCCTCTAAGGACGACAACATTCAAAAACACATAGCTTTGAATTTTATTTTTTGCTCTCTGCTGACACGAAAGATGAACAAATATATTGATGCTAGAGTTGAATCGCGTATAATGAAGAATAGGAGATACATACTTGCTTTCGGCTAACTTCCAATATTATTCCTGATCAATTTTCGACTCACATTGCTTTAATGTACCTTCAATTACGTGTGCTCTTCAGCCTCCGACCATTCTCATAACCTTCCAGCCCTTCTATTCATTAAACTGTTATGTTTCATTAGCGTACCTTCTTGGGACTTGTATGACGATTCAAAGAACAAGGGGCCGCATAGATCAAATCACAAGCAGTTGGATAAATTTTACACACAATACACTTGAGACATCGAAAACCGCAATGAAATCATTGTCGCAAGTTATACTGAATATTGTACAGACGTTTCGATCATTTGACACTAAGGGAGTATAAGCTGCAAAAACTATAGAAAGTATTGAGTTTAACATTTGTTAAGGCCATCGGATATACAAAAAACGGATTGAACAAAATAAAAACTTCCGAGAGGCAATTAAATTACCTAGATTATAACATCGGTTTTTGGGATATCCTATAATCCGTCTATCTCACGGAAACCTAACAGCTTTGAACCACATAAAAGTGGACGCCAGGTCAAGTTCTTACTGTACGACACTGAAGAAGTTGAGGTTGGCGTTGTAGAGGGTAAAGTCAATGATAACAGCTCGAGTGGACTCGCCAGTCCATAGGTTGGTGTGGAGTTCTGTCAGCATTTCCGAGGTCACTTGGCGGGTCAGGCCGAGGTCCAGATAGTACCCTGAGCCCGTATAGGTGGCGATGGTACCAGGGACACTATCAATTCCAGACTCCGACGCACTTCGCCAACGCCATCTGAAAAGAAAGTTAAAGATGCATTCATTTAAAAATCAGAATTTGGAGGATGAGAAACCGATAAATCTACTGAAAATCAGTATATTGTGAAAGAAACTCAAGCCGAACCCAGACTTTCAACTTCACACATAAAAATGTATGACAAAACGCCGTTATTACGTACAGTTGT